GATCGTAAAACCATCGAATTTGTGACTTCAAGTAAGTTTTTCAAAACTGTTATATTTTGTATTTTTTAACATGTTTGATCGTAAAATCATCGAATTTGTGACTTCAAGTAAGTTTTTCAAAACTGTTATATTGTGTGTACATATTTTAACATGTTCGATCGTAAAATCATCGAATTTGTGACTTCAAGTAAGTCTCTCAAAGCTGTTATATTTTGTGTACTTTAACATGTTCGATCGTAAAATCATCGCATTTGTGACTTCAAGTAAGTTTCTCAAAACTGTTATATTTTGTATTTTTTATCATGTTCGTTCGTAAAATCATCGAATTTGTGACTTCAAGTAAGTTTTTCAAAACTGTTATATTTTGTGTATTTTATCATGTTCGATCGTAAGATCATCGAATTTGTGACTTCAAGTAAGTTTTTCAAAATTGTTATATTTGTGTATTTTAACATGTTCGATCGTAAAATCATCGAATTTGTGATTTCAAGTAAGTTCTCAAAACTGTTATATTTTGTGTATTTTAACATGTTCGATCGTAAAATCATCGAATTTGTGACTTCAAGTAAGTTTCTCAAAACTGTTATATTTTGTGTATTTTAACATGTTCGATCGTAAAATCATCGAATTTGTGACTTCAAGTAAGTTTCTCAAAGCTGTTATATTTTGTGTACTTTAACATGTTCGATCGTAAAATCATCGCATTTGTGACTTCAAGTAAGTTTCTCAAAACTGTTATATTTTGTGTATTTTAACATGTTCGTTCGTAAAATCATCGAATTTGTGACTTCAAGTAAGTTTTTCAAAACTGTTATATTTTGTGTATTTTATCATGTTCGATCGTAAAACCATCGAATTTGTGACTTCAAGTAAGTTTTTCAGAACTGTTATATTTTGTGTATTTTAACATGTTCGTTCGTAAAATCATCGAATTTGTGACTTCAAGTAAGTTTCTCAAAACTGTTATATTTTGTGTATTTTAACATGTTCGATCGTAAGATCATCGAATTTGTGACTTCAAGTAAGTTTTTCAAAACTGTTATATTTTGTGTATTTTAACATGTTCGATCGCAAAATCATCGAATTTGTGACTTCAAGTAAGTTTCTCAAAACTGTTATATTTTGTGTATTTTAACATGTTCAATCGTAAAATCATCGAATTTGTGACTTCAAGTAAGTTTCTCAAAACTGTTATATTTTGTGTATTTTAACATGTTCGATCGTAAGATCATCGAATTTGTGACTTCAAGTAAGTCTCTCAAAGCTGTTATATTTTGTGTATTTTAACATGTTCGATCGTAAAATCATCGCATTTGTGACTTCAAGTAAGTTTCTCAAAACTGTTATATTTTGTGTATTTTAACATGTTCGATCGTAAAATCATCGAATTTGTGACTTCAAGTAAGTTTCTCCAAACTGTTATATTTTGTATTTTTTAACATGTTTGATCGTAAAATCATCGAATTTGTGACTTCAAGTAAGTTTTTCAAAACTGTTATATTTTGTGTATTTTAACATGTTCGATCGTAAAATCATCGAATTTGTGACAAAGTAAGTTTCTCAAAACTGTTCTATTTTGCATATTTT